CCCCATGTTTATAAGATTAAACACTATTACAACCAATTTTGGCGAGATTTTAAACATATGGTCTATGAATTTCTATATTAGCTTTTCAAATTTATTCAAAAGTAAGATTGATAACACTTTGTATATCCATGACAGTTTTTTTCCTATGGTGTAGAATCCGATTTACACTATGGTATATTACCTTTTCTGCTTACACCGCCTTTTTGCATGGTCACAATTTGTTTATACCCTTTTTGTTCTATTATAGTTATTTATTCCTATAATTCCATTGAATTATTACTTTTGAGTTTGTTTTATTTTAACATTTTCCAATCATTAATATATTTTTGATATAATTTGTCAAATTTCATATGTGTTGTAAAAAATGGTGATTAAATATTGTTAAGTGGAATGGTACAAATAGATGTTGGTTTACCAATATTATTAGTTTGGAACCAACAACTGAGCTTTGGGTTTTAACAATACTCAAACTGCCCCTGCATACCATTTCTATAGTTAAAATTTTTGATTTGAAGATTTTTGGACCAAACTGCCACTGCATAGTGTTTTTAAACTTAAAAAATATATATTAAAAGTTTTGGACGAAACTGCCCCTGCATACTATTTTTATAGTTAAAAAAATTGATTTTAACAATTTTGGACGGAAATGCCCCTGCATAATGTTTTTATACTTAAAAAAATTTTAATTTAACAATTTTGGATGAAACAGCCCCTGCATACTGTTTTTATAGTTATTTTTTTATTTTATTTTAACAGTTTTGGACAAAACTATCCCAACATACTTCACGATCCTTCCACCACCTCCCAAATGCGGAGAATATTACCTTCTTTCATAAAAAAGGAGCATCCCTAAAATAAATATTTTTTCATTTAAGGGTTTTGATCAATCCGAGACTGAGATCAATGAGAGAAAAGTTTCAATTTTTCCCCTATCGCAAAAAGGCTAGACAAGTCTTGCTCTAGATCTGTCTACATGTTTAAACAGGTTTCAATACCCTAAATAGCAACATGCTTTGAACTTATATGTAACACCGATAAATTTCAAAGAATTTTTTTTCATTTAGTTTTTAATAAAAACATTTCATTTCCAAATCATTCCAAAATCATGTATCCAATATTTCTACAAAAATACAATACATAATTCATATCCCAAGATCTAAAAAAACATATCATCTGCAAGTGTGTACTGATCATGCCGGTGCCTTCCAGCGATCATCACTGGTACCTGAAACACATAACACACAAACGTTAAGCATAAATGCTTAGTGAGTTCCTCAAAATATCACATTCAACACATATGCCTTTCCAGACCATAACTCTATAGGATTTTCTGATCCAAGTGTCTTAGGGGATTTCCATCACATAACTCTATTGACCTTCCATCCCATACTCTGTTAACCTTCTGGTCCATATCATCATACTCATATCATAACATATCACATATATAACATGCATCACATAAACATCATACACATAAGACCTTCTGGTCACACATAATTACACCATCGGGTATGGCATAGTGAGAAGACTCACCTTGCTGATGTCAGATAATCACTCGTGCTCGATTCCCCGACCTATCGTCCTCCTATATCATAAGTACATCTCTAATTAATACTTTCATAACTTAGTTTGACTAACACTATCAAGTCAACACTAGTCAACCCTGGTCAACGGTCAACCTTTGACTCGAATCGATGAGTCTTGCATAGACTCGTCGATTCCATACGTGAACTCGAGTCCTTTGAATCCTTTCTGACTCACCGAGTCACTCACCCAACTCGGCGAGTCATCCACTGATCTGAGTCACAGGATAACCCGCTCCGACTCGTCAAGTCTGCTCATGGACTCGGCGAGTTCGTTTCATGCACAACCTCAAACAACCTTCTAAGGTCAGATCTATTCCTCTAATCCTCAGATCTAACCTTCCCAAGCTCATTAAGCACGTAAAGTCTCTATCTTGATGCACATGCAACATCTATATGCCCATATATGATGATTTAGCCACAAATACCATAACCCAAGGTCATAACCTCCATTATTCTTCATAAAGCTTGATGAGTAAGGCTCTCTGGACCTCTATGGATCTAGATCCAAAGCCTCATCACCAGAAAGGGACTATTTTGATATCAAATCAACCTAACAAAGGGCCCAAGAAACCATAAATCCATATATTCATCATAAAACAGAAGAAGAGTCGAATTGCTACGTCAAATGCGATAATCTTAGCTTCAAATCCATAGAATAGCAACCTCCTTTGCTTCCTCTTGACTAGGAACTCTTTCTTCTTGCTAAACAATACCACAAAGGTCAATAATGGCTTCCTTTCTCTCTCAAAACGCTCAAGCACTCTAGGGTTTCTCTCTATGGACTGGTAGTCGCAAATGAAGGCCATAAGGGCCTTTAAATAGGTCCTAAACCCGAGAAATTAGGGTTTCTTTCGTTAGCTCTTACTCGGTGAGTCACTCTCCTGACTCGTCGAGTCCCTTCATTAACCACGTCATCCTGTCGTGACCAGACTCGACGAGTCTAAGCACCAACTCGTCGAGTCACCTTACATAACTAAAGAAATACACAGAAATCAATATACCTGGGAAACTAGGTGTTACAATTCTCCCCCACTAGAATCAGACTGCATCCTCGAAGTCTCGCTCAGCAAATAACTCTGGATACTACTCACGCATCTCTAACTCCGGCTCCCAAGTCAGCTCGGACCCCTTCCGATGTTGCCACTGGACCTGAGCAAATAACTCTGTATACTGCTCAGCAAATAACTCTGAGAATCTTATTCACCTTTTGACATGGTTTGAACAAAATATTTTCATCTTTTTCAACTAAAATATAATATATAAGTTTTTGGGAGGATCAATTCGAGTATTGGAATTGTTATTCCTTACTCAAAATGAGTTGATCCTCAGGTAACCCCCTAGATATTTCATTGTCTAACTTATTTTAGATGTGTGTTCAGATTGAGAGTTGTGGTGCTTAAGAGATAACATGGATTTTAGAATACTCCGACTTGTGGGGTACTTGAAACTTTATTATGATAACAAATGAACAACCTGGCTGCTTGAAATTTTTATTCAAGTTTTGTGACCGATAAAGTTTTCCATATTAAATCATGAAACTTTTAAACTTGTGAACTTTAGTGGTCCGTTCTTATTATTTTTTTGAAAAAGAAAAAAGAAAATATGATATTTACAAATGAGCCTTAGTGAGGGGTGTTATATCAACCAGATGAAAAACCATGACCATATGTGTTATTACCATAAGAGGAGGTAACCGAAGCAGACTAACAATGAGTAGTGATAGTAGCAGCATGCTGAGTAGGGTCATGAAGGGTGGTAAGAAATAACTCATGGCCTTCGGCTTGTGAGACATGATCACGAAATGAAGGATCACTACAAGAATAACCGGCAATAGCGGCGACGCCTTTAGCGGTGATGGGGACTTTTAGTAGCGAAAAAAATAAACGCATTTTTTGTTGTCGGTAATGTATCTGTCGCCGCTAATGACGTCGCCGTTAAAGGCTTTGGTTGGAGATTAGCGTCATTTCAATCCCATCCGTCGATTTAAGAGATGATCCCACGACTAGGTTTATTATGGCGATCCACGTCATTTCAAACACATTTGTTGATTTAAAAGATGATCCAACGATGTAGAAAACCCCGCGTTGTTTTACCTCCCATGTGTCATGTATTTTATGTTTATAGATATGTATGTGTATTTGTATGTATATGTGTATTTTGAATGAATTTTATGTATGTATATGTGTTTTTGTATGTCCAATTCTATGTATAGATGTATTTTTATGTATATGTATGTGTATGTATTTTCGTATGTATGTGTGCATTTTGTATGTGTATTATGTATGTATATGTGTATTTGTATGAATAGAAATACATATAGATAACGTCGATATCTTTAGTAGCGACGGAGAGCATTAGCGGCGACGGAAAGCAATAGCGGCGACGAATGGAGCATTAGCGACAAACCAAGTCAACAAAGAAACCTATAAAGATCGCCAATAGGGTGACCAATTGTAGAAAGTTGGTCACAAACTACTTTGAATTTGGAGCAAAATTTTGTAACAGTGCAGTAACCTTTCTTAAGTTGTCGAATGGTATCCATTAGGGTTTGCATACATTCTTGGGAATCATGATGCTATACGAATTCAAGGGATCGCAAAATAGCAAAAACAGTTTTAGGCCCGAGAGATTCAATCATGGAGTCTCGGAGGTCAGGGAGACTAGAATAGTAAGTTAGGCATGTTGATATATTTCTAACCACTTTTCATAGTCAATGTTTGGAGAAGAAGTAATTGCGATATCTTTGGTATTGGGTGGAGTAAGAAACATGCTAACTATATGACCAGACAACTTATCAACTTATGATACCAAAAAAGCAGAAGCATATGATTGCTCCAACTAAGTAATTTGTAGAGGAATGTTTGACAGTGATTATATGAACAATTGTGTTGCGATGGAGAGAGAAAATTGATGGGGGCGCAATCAATACACACCGAAAGGAAAAGGAAAAAGATCGTGACCAAATCCGATACCATATAAGGTTTTAATTATTAAATTCACCTTAATCGGTGAGATATATTTACAACTACATATAGTACAAGATAATAAAAAATAGCTAATTTCTAGGAATACATATAATCTCTAAAGAGTTTTTAACCAAATAGGTATTTTTGAAAAACTTATTTACCCAATAGGTGTACTTTTTAAACTTATTTATTAAAATGGGTTATTTATCAAACATTTAGAAAATGTTTCATGTTCCTTTCTTTTCTTTCACACAATTGACATGAAAAAAAACCAATATTCATAACTCACAAAAATCTTCACTGTATTTGACGTTTGGTTTTTTTAATATAAATTTCTCACTTTTTTTTTTAGTTTTGTTATTAACTAGAGGGGAATTACATGCGCCTTTGGCACTGTGTTTGTTTGTTTGTTTGTTTTTTTTCCTTATTTCAAGCTGTAGCAAATGGTAGAACGTAGTATTATATTAATGAAAACATATTACATATTACATAGAAATAAGCAAATCACATGTTTCAATTTGTGGGAGGTGGTTGAGAGTTCTATATTTCATAAGATTATACTAAACAGTAGCAACAAGTTTTGTAGGGATTAGATCACAAAATGTTGTCATTGTTTTGGTGTCAAGTGACATGGCAGCTCTGTAACGCACAAATGGGAACTCCTAAACAAATATGAGTAAATTGTAAGAAATAGAAACATACTCATGTTAAAAATATTGACAATGTACTTTATTTTTTTACTCATAGTTACATTTATTTACCCATAATAACAACATGTTCACATTTGTCAACAATAATAGTAATATGTAACTCACAATAACAATGTATTTACATTTTCTTTAATACATAATACAAAATATGAGTACATTGCTATTATGGGTTAAACTAAACTGTTATATGAAAATAAATATAAATACGTTGCTATTTTACGCTTTATATTTGATAAATAGATAGGTAAAAAAAATGAACTTTTATAAGATCATACCAACATTGAAGCAAATACAGTTGCAATACGATTGGCCATGGCAGTTAAATATTCATCTCCTTGTCGGGAAAATTCTTCATACCCATAAAGTTCTTCCAACGTGCTCTCATGATCAGTGATAAAACACTATTATTGTATAATTTTAACTTAAATAAATCTTATTAAAAAAGTAAATTAACTTATGTAAATGAGATTATATTCCTAGCTATGAATGGCAAAGTATTCCAAGTTCATCTGCAAATTCCCTCACATGTTAGCAACCAATTCTTTTGAAACAGATGAACTGAAGAATACATAAGCTCTAAAAGCATAAATAAATGAAGTTGTAAACTTCAATGATATTAATAGTCTTGGATATAGGATTTATAACATAAAAAAAAGGTGTATGATCTTTCACATACTCTTTATATAAATGCGCTTTTCCAACCATGTCAGCCAATAAGACGTGAAGACTATATGTATTTTAACAGAAGCATAAAAGAACACAATTAAGATACTATAAGTTGTTGATTTTATAAAAAAAGATAAAGTAATTTACTTTTCTTTTGTTGGTTGGATGTAGTATACTGCATCCATGGAGGGGACTGGTTGTCTTCTCTTGTGAGTTTGTTTCGCCACTGTAAAAAAAATAAACATATTATTCACCTCTATAAAATAAAAAATCCAATAGACAAAGTTAATTAAAAAAACCAAAAAAAATTCTTGAAATTTGTTAAACCAATTTCAAACCAAATAATTTAACTCCAAAGACAACAAAATTGGAAGAAACCGACTGCCTCTTTGTCTTTGGGTCATTCTGGTATACTAATCTTTTGGGTTCCCTTGGTGGTCTATGGATCGTTAAATCTTTTAAAATGATGATTTTACCCTTCACAAAACTTCAAATTGAATTTTGGAAAACTTACCGTTGGATTAGTGACCAAAAGATCATCTCCAACAATTTGAACTTTGTCACCACATTCAACAATTATCTTGGCATATACAACAAAGTAGATCATTTATAAAAAAAAATTAAAAAAAAAACAAAATTTAAGATGTGAAAGTTGAGACTATACTTTAACTTTTGCTTGCATCAGCCCTCCTCGTTCTTAGTTCCATCATGTTTTTGAACCATATAGTTATCAATACCAGTTTGATCAGTTGGGTCCTGTAATATGAACATATATGTTTACATTATGTATGTCAACTAAAATAGTAATATTTAGATTGATATTGAGGGAAAGAGTGAATTGATGAAACAAACGTTGTCTATAATAGCAAGATCAATAATGGTATTCACATTGGAAGCAACCAAATCATAGAATGCAAAACATAGTTTAAATAGACAATGGAAAGTGTCTAAAAGTAAACAAAACACATCAATTTAGATTCCAGAGTATTAGGTTACCTTGGAAACACCTTTTCCAAGGTAGCCTAAGCCCCCATCTCTTAAATTATGTGTTTGATAGATGCATAGAAGAACAAAAATTATATGCCTATGTTATTATTAAATCTAAAATTCTAGCAAAATTCCTGCTTCGCTGCTTGCAAGTTAAATCACTATTGATATACGAAATAAAAAGGCTACATATATTTAAAAAGTTTTAACCAAATATGACAAAAGTAGAAACATAGCCATAGATGGATTTGGGAAATCATTCTGAGATAAAGTTTGAGTCATGAGAGAAACAAATCTTACTGATGGATGCCCTGATACGATCCCTGTCCCGTGTCGTTTTGGTGTGATCTATAAGAGGCGAAAATAAAGTGGGCTCAGGGGTTTTTTAGTAATTTATTTAAGTTTGCTTATTTTAGCAATTAGTTTTATTTATTTTAGGAGTTTATCTTTTATGTTTGGGTCGGTGATTTAGTTTCCTTTTTGTTTGCTATAAGTATCATATTGTATTAGACCTATCTTTTGATAAAAGAAACAGTATTGGAGTTTATATTTTGTGGAGTCTACCCGTGACTAGAATACAGGCTATACTAACTGGTTCGTATCAATTGGTATTAGAGCAACATGATTCTGGCAACGACACTGTTCATCGGAATTACTATTCACGTGCATACTGTTCATCGGAATTACTGTTCATGCGATACTATTCATCGAATATTGTTTACATCGGCACTATTCATCAAATATTTTTTTGGGAGATGGGAACAAAGCTCAATAATACCGATCGCATTGGACTGCTTGAGTCCGATGTAACCAAGATGAGGGAGGAAGCAGAAAGCCATCGGGTGGAGGTAGCAATGCAAAAAAAAAAGAATGAGTTCGATAGTGAGAGAGAGTCTTCGGACAGCGATGATGACAAATCGAAGGGTTCGGGTGGTCACATGGGTTCTGGTTTTTACAAAGGAAATAACAGGGACTCATTACCTGATTCGCGAAAAATCAAGATGCCTATCTTTTCAGGAGAAGATGCGTATGGATGGATTTATTGGGTTGAGAGGTACTTTGAACTGCAGGGGATCAACGAGAAGGATCAATTGAGGGCAGCAGGTTTATGCATGGAAGGGGCTGCACTTGCATAGTATCGATGGGTGGAGGCACGATCATCATGCCATACAAGGGAAAATCTCAAGAAGAAACTACTTGTTCGTTTTCAACCATCATATGAAGGTAATGTTTGTCAACAATTCTTATCGATTCAACAAGTAGGAATGGCTCGTGACTATGTGTGCGAATTTGAGAAATTATCTGGACAAATGCTTGACTTTCCTGAAGAGGTTTTGGAAGCAACATTTATTAAGGGATTGAAACCCGAGTTGAGATCAGCGGTAAGAATAATGGAACCCAAAAGTTTATCAAAGGCCATGAAGGCATCGGCAAGAATCGAAGAAAATAAGAACGGTGGAGCGTCAAAAACATGGGGTGGAACAATAAGAGGCAGCACCAGCAGTCAATTCAAAACCGGCACGCCATTATCAGTTGGCAACTAAGCAACAGTCAAGGAGGAAGGGGGATACATAGGTCCATTTTAACGTTTCATTGAAACAGAAATCACAAAGAAACGAGCAAAGGGTTTATGCTTTAGGTGTAATGGAAAGTTTGGACCGGGACATCGTTGTCCTAGCAAAACATTACAAGTGTTGATTATTGAAGAAGAAGAAGAAAAAGAAGGAAGCGAAGGGGGAGAAGATGACACAGAACATGCACATTTTGATATTGCTGAAGTATCGTTAAATTTAGTCAGCGGACTCACCCCACCACACACGATGAAAGTAAAAGGAGAGATGGGAGGCATGGAAGTGGTGGTGCTTATAGACAGTGGAGCCACCTATAATTTTGTTTCTACCAAACTAATTAAGTTGCTAGGAGTGGAGGCTTCCGGTACCAATGCAGTCAAAGTGAAACTGGGTAATGAGATGATGGTTACTAGTTGGGGAACCTGCAAGGGAATCATGTTAAATTTACCAGAATTACAAATAATTGAAGAATTCCTACCTTTTGAACTTGGCGGATCAGACGTGATTTTAGGCATAAAATGGTTATAGACCTTGGGTGACATGACAATGAATTGGCACGAGCTCTGGATGCAATTCTGGGATGAAAATCGTCTTGTAACCATTAAAGATGATCCTATTTTATCTAAGACTCTAACCTCTTGTAAAACACTTTGTAAGATATTGTAACACGAAGTAGAGGGGTACCTGGTCCACTTAAACGTGAAAGAAGAAACAGGCCTGGAGATGAAAATCTCAGTAGGGATTCAATCTATAATTAACACCTACAGTGGAGTGTTTGAGATGCCTTCTGGGATTCCTCCTCAATGGAGCCATGAACATGCGATTGTCCTCAAGGAAGGCAGTGCACCTATTAGTGTGCGCCCATATCGATATCCACATGCTCAAAAAGACGAGATAGAAAGATTGGTGAAAGAGATGTTAGATGCCGAAATTATTCAACCCAGCAACAACCCATTTCAAGTCTCGTTATTCTGATTAAGAAAAAAGATGGAGGTTGGCGTTTTTGCATGGATTACCGTGCACTCAATAAAGCCACGGTGTTGGATAAATTTCCAATTCCGGTCATTGATGAACTATTAGACGAGTTACACGGAGCGGTGGTGTTTTCTAAACTCGACTTGAAGTCGGGGTATCATCAAATCAAAATTAAGGCCGAAGATGTTCATAAAACCACATTTCGTACGCATGAAGGGCACTATGAATTCTTGGTTATGTCGTTTGGTTTGACTAATGTGATGGGTTTTGGTCATAAGACATCCTATGTGCTCATACAAACCCTAATGCTTGGATCTAGGTTTCTCTATTGTACATGCTTTGAATCCAAGACTATAAACCCTAATTCTAGCATATGGAAATCGATATTAACATATAATTAGGTTTAAGATGTTACCTTGATTGTTATGTAGCAATAACAATCCCAAATCTCCTTGATCTGACTTTGGAAGGCTTAGAGTCACAAGTGTCACTCCTCTAATGGCTTATAAACACCAAGAGAAAATGGAGAAGGTATAAAGAGAGAGGAGAGAGGTTAGAATTCGTCCTTAGGACTTCTTGGGAAGAGATACACGAATTCATGAGCCAAGGGGTGTTTATATAGGTGTAGAGATAGGGTTTCAGTCATTATCCTTATCTAGTTGCTTATTCATAAGGCAACCCATAAGATAATCCTTGAATCCTTATCATAGTCGAATTCTAAGGCCTTATCACCTCAAATTCGTTCACCCTATATTTAAGATAATCCTTACCTTATTTTGTAACTATCACATAATTACAAATCAGCCCCTCTAGTTTAATTAATTACACTTGATCACAAAATTAATTCCTAATTAATTATTGACCAATATTAATTAAACAAATATGATTTCTCCTTTAATATATTATTCTTATAACATATTAATAAATCATATTATCCTCTCTCTCTATATATTTCTCCAATCAAGTTGCTTTGGTGAAGGCAACCCAAAAGGACCATGCACCATCGGGTCAAGTACATACCAAAATAGTTATGGACTTAGACACTAATCCAACAGTCTCCCACTTGGATAAGTCTAACAACTATTCTGCGTATGACTTCAGATCCTGATCTGCAATCGTAGCTTTCCAAAGCCGTTGTCAACTCTGATCATATCAGATACACGTGTCCTTAGATAAGGGATCATATATTCCTCCATTCTAGATATCGTATGAGATGATTTCAAATCATTCTCTTTGTACTACTTCTCGATTTCTGATTTATGACGACAGACTAATTGAACAAATAAAATTATCCCTAGCCCGGCCGAGCATTTACGTTTGTCATCACTAAACCATCGAGGGGCCCAAAGATATCGCTTTTATTCTACTTTGAATAAAAGGAACGGATAAACTTTGATACAATTCTTGCTTGCACTCACCCACCGAATTACACACAACAATATGTTTTATAACACCAAGTTACTAGTGTGTTTTCATATTATCAATGTGCAACCAATTAGAAAGATACAACTCACACATCTCGATTTCAAGAATATAATATGTTATCGTCTCACCAATCACTCGTAATACAATTCATGGAGTGATCCAAGCGAGCGTGGGTTTAATCCAATGCTCAAATCATATTCGTAAGCACTCATGAACGTTGCAGCAAACATTTGCTTATGTCAAATACTCTTCTAGACAATCCACACACCAATTCACAACAGTCTTCATTCATATCTACTTCCAACATATGAACGACTGTGGCCTGTTCGAATAATTCGATTATTCTTAATAAACTCAATTATTCTGGAAGTCAAAACATGCAAAGTGAAACACAAGAATAATACTAATCCCATATGGCCTCAACCCTTTGAGCATAAATAAAACACATTTTATTTATCACCATATCGATTACTCATTATTTGTCGTTTCGGGTAATCAACTTCTTACTTGAATTATTACACTTGTCCCATGCTCCTAGCATGCACACAATGTTTACCTATGGTCCTTACTTTGTGAAATAGATCACATTGAACACGTTTCCAATCATTCTCATTTCACAACTCCAAATCCTTTTACATAAGTGAAAGAATATCAAATTCTTGCTACTTATAGAATATGCTAGATTCTGACATCCTATGCAAAGATCCTTTTGTAATATCATTGCACCAAAGTCACATAGACTATTGCCAATGATATTACAAAGTCCTCTATCGGAGATTGTTACAAGAAAATTCCTTAAATATGATGTCTCTCACTCAAAGTACATTTCTTTGAACATCCTTTTGCATAAAGTTTCTAATCTAGTCATAGATTTTCAATATTTACTTCCCAGTATAGACACGCTTCCATATGTTCCATATGACAACTCATTTTTTAATAGAA